CTAGGCGGTTTCCAGGCGTCTTACAGACTCTGGCGGTGCGGAAGATCTGGTCTCGAGTCGCCAGATACGCGTAACTAAGGAGCGCGACGTTTTGTCTCAGGAGCGTCCGTATATAAGAATGCCCAAATATAATAATAAGACAATACTTTTCTATAAATAAAAGTTTTTCTTCAATATTTTATATTTCATTGATATAAAATATTGAAGAAAAACTTTTAATTTTGAGAATTTTCGCGATGCATTTAGAAAAGTATTGTCTTACTATTATATTTGGACATTCTTATAAACGGACGCTCCTGAGACAAAACTTCGCGCTCCTTAGTTACGCGTATCTTGCGACTCGTCGCTAACGTATGAGCGGTGAGTGGGGAGCAATAGGCGTGAACCGCGGAATCGGGCCGAAATGTGCAACTAAATCCGAGCACTGCACTATAGATATGAGACCCGTCGACGTGACTCCAACGATCGCCGATAAACTTTTAAATACGGTGTGCAGCAATATAAAAATCGCGGCTCCGGCGAGATTCAAAGTAGCCGATCCGGTACGCGTCAGCAAGTTTAAGACGATCTTCGAGAAAGGTTTCACACTTAACTGGACCACCGAGATTTTTCGAATAACCAAGATACAACGGACTAATCCCGTAACGTATCTGCTGAAGGATTCGCGCGGCGAGCCTATCGCCGGAGGATTCTACGAGCACGAGTTGCTGCGCGTCAACGATCCCGACGTGTATCTCGTGGAGAAGATGTTGCGTTGAAGGAGCGACAAGGTTTACGTGAAATGGCTGGGAATGGGCGAGTCGCACAATTCTTGGATAAATAAAACGGCTGTATTATGATAAAAATGTATTTTTATTAAATAAAACTGCATATATTAAACAAAATTATTTGTTAGAAAAATAAAAATTATCACGGACTCTTCGCGCCGTCCTTCTCGCATTCCATACGGGTTCTCTCTCACGCTCCATACAGATTCTTTCTCGCGCCGCTACGCGGCCGCCACATCCTGCGTTTTCTCTTTCGCGCTTTATACGGACTCTTTCTCACGCTCTATATGAATTCTTCGTCGCGCCGCTACGCGAACGTCGTATCTCCCGTTAACCTTTTTTCGCGTTGCTCGATATAAAATGCTTCCGAGAGCATAATAGAGAGGTCGTGAAAATGTCCACTCTGTCCTACTTGCAGCAAATCTTGACGCAGATTTGGCTGCATATATTAAACAAAATTATTTGTTAGAAAAATAAAAATTATCACGGACTCTTCGCGCCGTCCTTCTCGCATTCGATACGGGTTCTCTCTCACGCTCCATACAGATTCTTTCTTGCGCCGCTACGCGGCCGCCACATCCTGCGTTTTGTAAACTATTCTAGCTAAGATTTGCTAATAAATCTTTAGCGAGAGTAGAAAGTTATAGTGCGTCAAAACAAACCCCCACTCTTCGGGTCGATGCGCTATAACTTTCCACTCTCGCTAAAAAGATTTATTAGCAAATCTTGGCTAGAGTAGTTTGCCTAATACGCGTCAAGATTTGCCGCAAATTGGATAGATTGGAGGTTTTCTACGAATTTTTATAATGCGAAAATACTCGAAAAAACTCGCGCGTCTCTTCGCGAGTATTTCGTACCTTCGCGTATCCCGTCTTTGTTATTTTTCTCTCTCGGAGTATTTTATTAAAGTAAATATTGTTTATAAAATATGTTTTATTGTTTATAAAAAATATGTTATATTGTTTATAAAATATATTATATTATTTATATTATTTATAAAATAATCTATATTATTTATAAAATAAACTATGTTTATACTAACAATAAACTGCGTTATATTCATACTAACAATAAATTACCGAAGTTTGAACGTTTTAAGAAGCGTCTCGTCGTAAATAGAATGGCAAACGCGCGTCTCGTGAAATTACAAAGCATTTGCGAAAAAACGCGCGATCTCGCAAGTTCGATCCTCGCGTTCGTTTATAAATATTCTCGCGATTTTCGCGAGACATGCGCTCGTTATTCTCTTCTATCGCGCAATCGGAGTATTTTATTAAAATAAACTGTATTAAACGCGAATAATATTTATTACATTCTCGATATACGACGTTTTCCTCGCTCCTTACAGCGGTATTCTACAATGCCCCCACGGTAAAGTATCCGTAGTTCCGGATATCACGTATCGCTTGTCGTCGTGCGGACTAAGCGCGACCTTCGACTCCGACACCGTATATACCTCGCGTAACTTGGACCTTACGCAGGGCTGTTCGCGCCTCGTCTCGATCCTTCGTCGAAGACAGCGCGCATAATCTTCGAACGTTATCGTTCTCGCGACAACGCCGCTTTTAACACCTTTAATCTTCGTATCGTCTCTACCGTCGACTCGCAGCGCGTACATCGTCGCTCTGAGCCCGACGAATTCCGTCATAATCGTACCGGCATTCTCGTCCTTCATCGCACCGGGTATTTTCTTGTTAGCGAGAGGCATACCGTACGCGTTGTCCACCGCGTAATCGCTCGTGTCGAATCTGTCGATGTCGCGCTTCATATCCTCGTACACGTCCTCGCACTCGACGCGATAAATGAGACTATCCGTATCGGTGTACATTATCCTACACTTTTCTCAATACAACGGTAGTATATACTCGTAGTGAAATTCGTACAAGCGAATCTTAGACACGTCGAGGATGCACATACCCACGTAGACCGGTTTGTTGAACTTAATCTCGAGTTTGCGCAATTCCGCGGCTCGAGATCCTCCGCAAAGACGCTTCTGCTGTGAAAGTTCGGCTTCGTGATCATCGCCTCCGCGCCATATCGCCCGTCCCATCGAGCCACGAGTCAGACATCCGAGTGATTGCGCACGTTCTCCATGGTCTTACCGAACACGGCGTTATTCATCAATTTGTACAGATTTTTCTTATCCGCGCAGCCATGGGGATTGCGCGAATCGCAATAATCTGTGTATCCTCGTAACGCGTAATCCGTGTCGAACGCATTGCTGTAGATTGCGATAATACGTCACGTAACGGCTCTTATCGTACAGCATGGCGAGGAGTTTCTCGTCTCGTTTTCTGGGCGGCTTATCGCGCGTCGGACAGAACGGCAAGTCCGCGTGAGAGTCGTGAAGGTCGGACGGATACGCAAGGTCAACCTCTAGAATGTAACCGATAGGCGAGTTTGGTGTCACGGACATTAAGTCGATGCTCGCGACGTCGTCGACCCATTGAAAATCTTCGTAAGGCAACGATTGACACATCGCCCATCCGTACAAATTATTTATATCAAAATACATGAGATAAGACGACGGTTCCGAGGGATCGTACGACTGTAAATACTTGTTATTAACGCGCGCGTATCTATTGGAACATTGACTTAGCCCGCCGCGTATCCTGCGTTCCACGAACATCACCATATCGATGTCGTTTAACAACTCGAATCGAATACCCGTATGCTTTAACATAGCGTCCCACGTATATCCAGGTAACGTGTAATAGTACGCGGGATCTAAATTATAACTTCTCATATACGCGTCGCGAAAATTTTCGAAGACATCGGATAATAGAAGAACGCCGGTTTTTAAACACAAATCGCTAAAGTCGCCCAACGTCTCGACGCGAAACCGCTCCCAGACTCTTATCGCGCGCGCGTAATCGCTCTCGGATATCGCGTCACCGGTCAGCGAACTGTGGAAAGCCTCGCGCGACGGTAGACGAGTCTCCAGCAATTTATCGACGTCGTCGACGTACTCGTACGGAAACACGCCCTTTCGCGCGAGAAACTCAAAATCGGCGCCGTCGAGATCGGAAAATTCCGAACGCGCGATCCTCAGCTCGCTCTTGTCGAGATACGACGTCAATTTTTCGAGACTCGCGCTTAGAAACTTGAAAGAATCCACGAAGCGCAATTTCAGGCGTCTTCCGAACCATCCCTCGTTCGACGCATCCTCGACGTTCTTCGTGAAAGAGATGTATGTTTCCTTCGTCAGCGGCAACAGTTCGACTCTGCCGGGAAAGGCGTTAGCCACATATTTGATGATAAAATGCGCGTCGTAGCCCGATAAATTGTGAAAGAATACGGGAATTACGTAAGTCTCCTTATAATATAAATTACAATTCGAATGCGCCGGACCTCTGTACAGTCCGGTCAGGTGACAGTGATCACGCACGCGAGCGTCTTCCGGTTCGAACAGACTCTCGCACACGCGACAGTGCGTCGTGCTCGTGAATCTCTCCCGGTGTAAGATCCGTCATAGGCGCATCGGTGTCGAGAACAATCCTCGCGCGAAGCGCTAGATCGTACAGTTCTTTAACGAACCACGATACGCAATCCTCGCCGCGATAGGCTTTGTAAGTCGAGCTAGCGTCGTCGAAAGCGCATCGCGCGTAATATCCAGCGCTATAGACTTTGTAAATGCTGAACGATAGACGTGTTCGACATTCTCTTCTCCTCTTTCTTCTCCAGCACGCATTTGACATCAGCGTACACCACGAACGGAAGTCCCTCCTTTCTACCGTAGTTGCGAAACTCCAACCATTTGTCGTCTTTGGTAGGAAGGACTATAGCGCACTCATTCATCCTTCCGCAGTCCGCGCTGTGAGCCGATAATTTATCGCTCGTTCGAAACTAATGCAAGCATCTGCGACATAACACATTTTTAAATCGCGTACATTATCCGCATTACGCGACAATTTTTTTTAATTCGTACTCACCGATCGCATATATGCGCTTTATGTTGCCTACCGCTCAGTTGCGAACCGATGAGTCGGGACAGATTCTTGATCCACGCGAAATGCGCCGCGTTATCTCGTTGCATCGTATCGCTCAGATACAGCAGATTAACGTGTCTGTCCTTCTTATCACCGGTGAGACGCAGAGGAACGATACGGCAGCTACCTTCCCCGTTCTTCTTATCCCGAACGGTATACACGTTGATGGATATGTCGTTAATACGCTCGAATCTAGTGATTCCGTTTAAACTCATGGGAAACTCGACGCCCTCCAGATTCAACACCGTTGAGTAGTGAGGATACCGCGAGCTTCTCTCTGTGTGTTTCTTGACCGGATATAGAACGGCGACTACCGCCCACGCGAAACAAAACTCATGGGTAGATCGCACGTTGACCACCGCTTTCTTCAACGCGATCTCTCGCGGTATCTCGACGCGGCATCCGGCGCGCATAGGATTGTACCTGTTCATGTTCACCGTTAAATTTAGTATACGCGATAACGCCCATCCGCTATCGCGCTCCTGAAACTCTCCCATCGAAGCTAGAGTAGCGTCGACCACGCGCTTCCCGTACCTGTCTCGCAGGTCGGAAAAAGGCAGAAGCGGATAATTCTTCGTGGCGATAGTCTTAACATCGATCTTGTCGCCCGAGACGAACTTGCCGATGAACACGGTATTGACCTTGACACTGTTATATCCGTCCATAACATCGCGTATTCGATCGAGCACGGTATCTCTAGCTTTCTCGAGAAATCGCAAAGATTCAATATAATCGAAATTGATAACCGCGCCGGTTAAAACGCGTCTAGAGAAAGCCGTCTCGATCTCGAACCACGAGAATCCTTCGCGCCTCTCTACGCCGCCTCCCACACGTTCGAAACGTCGACGCAGATCGTCTCTCGCGCCCGTCAATCGAACGGTTCGAACTATCAGAGAATTGATCGTTCCGGTGGATCTCCCCCGGCGCTCGCCTCGCCCCTCCCGCGATCTCCCCCGGCGCTCGCCTCGACACCCCTCCCGCAGAGACTCGAGACGCTCGTCG